TTGAATATTCTCAATGATCTACCACTGTTATTCAGTTTGTTCATTTTACTTTATAGGAATAATTTAAAGATCGTGTCGTTTTGGTAATTCATCAGTGACGATGATATGTCCATATTTTTTATCATATAGGGAAAGAATTGTCTGAGAGTTCTCCTGAACAATGTGGTTACACGCCTCACTCCCACTGTTATACGCCACTGTTTGAATTCCTAATTTTAATGCCATATTCCCAAGTGCTATGTTACTCGTTTTGCCTGTACCAGAAAGGACCACCTAGTTCCAGTAAAATGAACATAATACTATAAGTTCTTCTTTGTTATTATTAACACGCAATTAGACGAATATATTGTCTGAAATTATGACATTTTAAAACACCACCTGCTTTTTTTGTTTAACAAAGGTCAGACATTTTAAATGAATAGCATGGCCAATTACTTGATTGTTAACGATTTTTATTCAATTCTCTAGTCTACTGCTGTATTTTATATTAAAACATAGACGATAAATCTTTATGTGAATGTGCTTTTCACACGCCATCATTACTTTTCTCATCTCTTTTCGCCATTTGATCGCCTTTTCTGCCGACTATCTCGCCTTAAATTGGTTTCTGACAGAACGGAAACAAAATAGCTTTCACTGAATAGATTTGACAATGCTAAAGGGGATATTTCATAAAATATTTGTTCGCTCCATGAAAATTCAAATCCTTATGTAACTTTGGAAACAAGTTAAATGTTTTCTATATACGTGTCCCATATCAGCATTTCATGTTTATACATTTACGCTCAGTACTAGTATATTACCAGTTTTAATTTTGCTCAAACCATGAAAAGTGTGGAACTTCCGTGTGTGGCGGATATTTAACCAAGCATATTTCTGAAGGGAAATCTATAAATTGGTTGTTTTCCGATTCATGGAGCAAATTATCCACTTATTTCTCACTGCTTTTCAGTTCTTTGAAATGTAATTTGTCCTACTGGGACAAAACATGTTATTAGTTGAAAGAGATTGCTTATCTATTTTGTTATACAATCATAGTCCATTTCTACAAAATGAATAACTATTTTCTATCATTTGAATATATAGATTATGTAATAGAAAATATAGATAAAAGAGTCCTTTGGCATGTATTCAACTTTTATGTAACTACATGTATGTTTTCTCGAGTAACACTGCGTCGATAATAAACAACATGTATGTTATCACTGCGTCGATGATAAAGTAAACTTATGTTATCTCGAGTAACATTGAGTCTATGTTTGTTATCGCTAGTAACACTGCGTCGATGATAAAGTTCATGTATGCTAACAGGAGTTACACTGCGTCGATAATAAACAACATGTATGTCATCATGAGTAACACTCTGTTGATGATAAAGTACATGTTTGTTATCTATAGAGTAACACTGCGTCGACGATAAATTACATGACTATTACTAATATCATAAGTAACACTGCATCGATGATGAAGCCTTGTTATACGTAAAACTCCATTGAAATCAAACAAGCAAACTTTAAGACGATTATTTCCCATGACAAAATGACAAAAACTGTAAAACAAAGCGTTTTATAAGCATTTAAATTTATCCCTTCAATGATTGATTCACTAAACGTCTCCAGTTTGATATTTAATCGTTTTTCTGAAGTCAGAGAATATTTTTACTAGATTAAATAACCCGTTTTCATGACAGTCGAGAACAAAATGATACAATTATCTTTAATAAAAAAAATAGTTGCTGCAATTATCATTTTGATATAATATAATGAATAATGATATAGTCATGATGTGTTGGATGACAGTTTCATTTTCAATAAAATCAAATTTACATCGAAATGATTGACATAACTATTATATATAATTCTGTTACACGGTAAACACAACTTAAACATGGAATAAAATATTTAAATATTCACGTAGGACGTCAATTGATGATATCTTTTCAACAATTATTTCCCGATCACTTATACAATCATGAAGCTATGACAGTCGATGTGGGTAGTTCTGTCCAACTATTGAAACAATTTGAATATTTTGATCATTGTCTGTGTAAGGTGCGATGTTACATCCTTCAAAATTGAAACCTAGTTGTTTCGAACATGGAAAGGCATCTAGAAAACAGAACATTCATTCAATACTATGGCAGGCTGCTTGTCACATTTAATTTCAATTGAAACTTTTAAAACGATAGGCAAAGTGAAAGGCTACAGTATTGAAGAAAATTTGTATCATAATTGAAGAATTTAGAACAGAGCACACATTATCAACCTTCAGCATCAAACAAACATGTATAAAGTATTCAAACATTATTCATAGTAATTCCCAGTACACGAAAGTGCCTCCTGAGACATGCCAGTACAATCAATCAACCTAATATTATAGTCCAATAACCATTACCAGGAACCATGCCACAATTACAATAGACTATTATCTCTAATGGAATAAGTACCTAGTTCAATTAATTCCATTACTAATTAAATGAATGATATGCTAGCCTGTTGCTCGGAGAATTCATGATATTTAGATTGAACGTTGAAAGTCCATCACTAATCGGATAATAATTTATACGCAGGTTAATCGATACAATAATAAAAGACGGTTTCATCCTATTTCATTGATGCCAGTGTCAACCATCGCACCATACATTTATTTTGCTGCTCTACCAATATACTTACCTCTAATCCTTACTTGTACTTGCGTCATGGTTTAAGTCACATTTATTCTACTTTCGTTACACTTTGCTGTTACTCGTTACTTCATACTTTTGGGTTTTTTTTGTTACACATTATCCCTAATGTTTTAAATTCTATTCTTTTTCAATAAAGGAAAAGCTTTAGAAATTACTTTGTATTTTGACATTGGGTTTTTGATTCACCGAAGTGTCTTTCTGTCTGAAGCCATGGTGTGGTTTGCAAGGTTCATTAGTGAACAGTTATCTAAATTGAATGAATATAAATCTGATGTTATATAGAGCTCAAATGCATTATGAATCACGTCTGAATGTCTGTAGATTGTTACCGGCCTCTTGTAGGAGTAATTCTTTCTATGTAGTCTTATAATCAGTAATTGTTTTACTTTCCGAATTGGGATTGTAAAGAGGTTTTCTAAATTCTTTTTGTTCATCGGGAACACTGATAGCATCAATTTACACCATTCCAATTTTCGATCAGACTTTGTTTTAGCGAAATTGCAACTTTTTTTTATTGAGAATTGCAAATTGATGCTATCAGTGTCCCCAATACACATTTTTAAAATCCATTTAAAGTTTGATTTACAGTAAAGCAAGCTACTTCGAGGTCGTCAGGATCATGGAACGTTCACTGGCGTATTATACTGTTATTCAATTTGTTTCTCAATTAAAAAAATGATTAAAGTCACAAATTCAGATGGAGTCAGAATGAGAATCAGCTCTCTGTGTAAGTTTAAGGGAAATAATCAGGTCATCAAATGTATGTATTCGACTTGGCCTTTGAATTATATTTGTTTTATCTTCAAGCAAAAAATAAAATATATATATGTTGATGGACCTGTTGTACGGGGTACATCTAGGTCCTCCCCTCCCTCTCAGTGAAAGGTTAATGGGCAACGGGTCTTGCCTCGAATAAACATCTCATAATTTCTTGATACGCCCTGTTTGCAGGGATTGATGACACAAGCAAATACTAGCTAATAGATAGATCCCTTATCCTACCATTACAGGCGTTTAAACCTCTTTATAATCTCACACAACTTGATCTGTAACAAATTATGTCTTAGAAGCTTTATCTCTCGCATACAATAAAGTACTGTAGAATATCAATACGATTTATCTTCACTCAGACAGGATTACTCTTCGGACCTTCAGCTAAAGAGTGATGACACTCTGCACAAGATGTTTTAATATTTAACTTTCAATCCAGCGCTTTAGCCAACTATGTGCAAGTTCTTGCTGTCAATGGTTGTGCAGTATGTACGTTAATCGCACTGAGCGTGTGATATTTGTACAAAAAATTTCGAGTGGGTAATGTGTTCGCTTCAGCTAATATGGACTCACTTTCAAAGAGTCGGGCTAAAAGGATTTATTTGACTTTAATCAGACACCCAGACAAGATTGTTCATACTATACCGATGATATATGACTTATAAACGTGGCATTGCATCACTTCATAGCTACAGACTTATCACTTGAAGTGTTTATAAACCGTTCTTGATAATTGAGTCTTCTAAATATGATATATCAAGAAATGTCACGAAGGAGATGTCTGAATTGAAATAAATAGAGCTTTGTTTTTATTTTATATTTGCTTATCAGTAATAAGTATATAATTACCCTAGACGAAACTGTGGATGCCAAGGCTTAGCCATTCTTTGAAAAAATAATGATTTAGATTTCAGTGATGATAATTAGTCATCCTTCATTATGATACTATCTGGCTATCCTATTCGTGTAATCGTGATATATCATATCATATGATATTATATTGTTATCATATTCGTATTTTATTATATTTTTATCATGATGCTATTTGTATCTACATGTATATGATATCTTTGTAAAATTGATATCGCGATGACATCTTTATTTATATCGTGATATCGAAATGGTATTTAAATAGTGAAGATATTTATATATTATTGATATTTGTATCTTTATACTATATTGCTATTTAGTGATGGTATTTTTATCTTTTATATTTATATCTTGATGATTTTTATATCTGGATGATTTTTGTATCGTGATGGGATATTTATATATTTATACTTTTGCCATTATATTTATATCGTGATGACATTTGATATTTATATTTGTATCTTTATGATATGTATATCGTGATGCATTTGTATCTTGGTGATTTTTATATGGTGATGTCATTTGTATCTTTATGATATATATATCGTGATGGCATTTGTATCTTGGTGATTTTTATATGGTGATGTCATTTGTATCTTTATGATATGTATATGATACCATGATGCACAGCACATTACTTAAAGCAACTGTTATCTTAATGTTATATTTTCAGATTACCAGTATCCTAGAACAACGCCTTTAATACTCAAATTACAGTGGCTACTAGTAAATATAAGTTGTAATTCTGCTGTAGTAGTAACAATGTCATATTGGTTCTTTATAGCTTTGTTTGACCATTCCGGTAAGTAATACCCTATTGTTCTTCATATTGTTCTTTACATTAATATTATCGTATCTGACCAAATCGTTACGCTACATTGTCCTTTGTGGTAAGAATTTTTAAATTATTGACAGAATTCTTATGTTTTTAGAACCATGACACCAACTTTGACACTAAAACAAAGGAAAAAACTTGGTGTTTTTGCCGCCTGGTTAATTTTAGATCTCGTTTCTTCTTCTCTGGTTTTTGGAAAATTGTTGAAAGTCCCAAATTATATTCTGGTGTCCAACTTCAGCAATAAATCCTTTTAACTCGTCTTAAAATATGATATTTCTTGATCTGTTAATATGGCTTGAAACTCTATTTATTGATTCTAAACGTTAAGAACTTAACTTTTTATCAAATTTATTCACCATGCAAACATCTTGGGCAAATTTATCTTTAATTGGATGAGGAAATTGTATTTTTAAAGAAAATAACTGACATAGAAGCCATTGATTTGTAATTTGTTCTGACATTTCAAATAACAAACATATTTCTTTATCTAAACTTTATATGCTGAAGATTGAACATATTGAATGTAGTTAGTTGATATTTAAAAAGTTATCCATCAATACTGTAAAAATATCGGATACAGGAAATTATATAATCAACCAGTGAGTTGAAGAAAATATCAAGTAGCGTACAAACAATTATTATACTGTTTGAATAGAAACTTTTTAAAATGCATCATGTGTTGAGCTTAAGCTAGATGACGACAATCCAGAAGTAACAATATCAAAAATACAATACATCGTATTCCAATGAAAGAGCAATATTTATTATAGATGAATACAGGCATTAAAGTAGGTGTCAGAATTTACCACATATATTGTCCCCTGTTAACAAACCAATAACAATATATTTTAATGGTATGCTCTATTAACACGCCAATGACAGTTTCTTTGAGTAGTATGCTCTGTTAACAAACCAATGACAGTTTCTTTGAGTAGTATGCTCTGTTAACAAACCAATGACAGTTTCTTTGAGTTGTATGCTCTGTTAACAAACTTTGAGTAGTATGTTCTGCTAACAAACCAATGAAAGTTTCTTTGAGTAGTATGCTCTGTTAACAAACTTTGAGTAGTATGCATGCTCTGTTAACAAACCAATGAAAGTTTCTTTGAGTAGTATGCTCTGTTAACAAACTTTGAGTTGTATGCTCTGTTAACAAACTTTGAGTAGTATGTTCTGCTAACAAACCAATGAAAGTTTCTTTGAGTAGTATGCTCTGTTAACAAACTTTGAGTAGTATGCTCTGTTAACAAACCAATGACAGTTTCTTTGAGTAGTATGCTCTGTTAACAAACCAATGACAGTTTCTTTGAGTTGTATGCTCTGTTAACAAACTTTGAGTAGTATGTTCTGCTAACAAACCAATGAAAGTTTCTTTGAGTAGTATGCTCTGTTAACAAACTTTGAGTAGTATGCTCTGTTAACAAACTTTGAGTAGTATGCTCTGTTAACAAACCAATGACAGTTTCTGTGAGTAGTATGCTCTGTTAACAAACCAATGACAGTTTATTTGAGTAGTACGCTCTGATAACCAAAAACAGTTTCTTTGAGTAGTACGCTCTGATAACAAACCAATGACAGTTTCTTTGAGTAGTACGCTCTGTTCACAAACCAATGACAGTTTCTATGAGTAGTATGCTCTGTTAACAAACCAATGACAGTTTATTTGAGTAGTACGCTCTGATAACAAACCAATGACAGTTTCTTTGAGTAGTGTGCTCTGTTCACAAACTAATGACAGTTTATTTGAGTAGTACGCTCTGATAACAAACCAATGACAGTTTCTTTGAGTAGTACGCTCTGTTCACAAACCAATGACAGTTTCTATGAGTAGTATGCTCTGTTAACAAACCAATGACAGTTTTTTGAGTAGTACGCTCTGATAACAAACCAATGACAGTTTCTTTGAGTAGTGTGCTCTGTTCACAAACCAATGACAGTTTCTATGAGTAGTATGCTCTGTTAACAAACCAATGACATTTTCTTTGAATAATATTCCATTTGGATATCTATTGATTTACATGTAATTATTTTATATTTTTCTAATTTCAGCCATTTTAACTACATCTATGAGTAAAGTGAAACATACGATGAATACAGTATATGTTATAATAGACCTATTACTTAGTGGCGTTCCAATTAGAGTATTACATATGTTCTTAACTGTTATGCTCGGCTCTATTTATGCTCTATTTAACGCGCTGTACTTTCTAAATGACGGAACAATCACAACCGGTGAAAACGGACTAGCTGTGCGTCATTATGCTTACAACTTTATGGATTGGAATAAGCCGGTAGAAGCTGTTATAACTTGTGTTTTGTGTGTCTTTCAATCTCTCATATCTCAAGTGATCATTTTTATTATTTATAAAATAAGAATTGTTATATATGAGAGGATGTATTTTGGTGGGACAGGCACCGAACTAGAAGCTGAACTTCAAAATATCGTCACCGAATCGAACTCTTACAGCACAATGGACGATAAAGATTTTACGGATATGACGTCACCAACTCATGTAGGTGTAAAGTGATTTAGTTGATACTATATAGTTATATTCAAGTTTATCTTATTCTGTGAACATAATGAATGTTTGGGAAAACTTCTTTTATGAATACCAATTATATAGTGGATTCCCAAACCGAGATAGAGACGTTCTGGTTCCCTGAACTTTGTAAAGTACATGGCGATATTTGGCTATAATGGCCCCATAAAAAAATGTCTGTGTCTTTCGTTTTAATGTTTTTTTTTAAATCTGTGTTGAATACAATCTGAATAAACACCTGTACCTGAACCCGTGTACTTAAGATATGATCTAACGGAGCATTTCTCAGTCAGATGATAGGATATTCAATAAGTTTTAAATTTTTCAGAAAAAATTCAATGTTTTAATAGTCTTAGATTTAAATTTAAACCCCAAAAATGTTATGTTGTGAACTCTTTTGGTCAACTGTTAAAGATACAGATTTGCGTTTTCTGTATCATTCTCCTATAGCTGACTTTTCATCTTTTAGATCTGGCACTGTTCCTCTTCAATCTGCGTTCAATATTGATCTATTCTAGCCAACCACAATCAGTCATTCAAATTGAAAATGGATGAGTTTAAGTAGTTAGAATTTTGCTTGAATGTTCGTAACTGGGCAATTGTAAAAACAGAGGATTAGACTTTTTAAAATCAGAGTAGGTTCTGACTCGGAACACCCAAGATCTTGAATGACATTCCACTACATGTCTGTAGAGTATATGAAATGAGAAGGTGCTTTGATATATTTAATGTGTTGTGATGCTATGGTTACTTTTATCATTGTTATCTTCTTCTTCTTAATATATTACTTATTTCATTGTTCAAAATATTCAGATATTTATGAAATAAAACGTTTATTTATTGAACATCTATCTATAATTTAGCTTTCTTTGTTAGGCTGAGAGGTCGATTTCATATGTTACTTAGATTTAATGAAAACATTGTTCATCACTCCATCGGCAATAGTAGGACGTAAAACTCCATTTATTTCATTTCTATCCGCTACATCTTTCGGCCAAGCGCAAACCCGATTTCTACACAGCGTAAAGAATGACCACGGATCCACCTATCTAGAATCGTCCACAGATTTCATTATTTCAAAAATATTTGAGAGTTAAGTTATGCATGCCTTCACTCAACTATTAACAGTGGCTATTATTATGTGGTATTTAAGTAAAAAGTACAGCTTAAAACGTATGCTCAGTTCACACCAACGGCGCTTTGATCGCGCTTTAAAGCGGCGTACAAAGCGGTACCAAGGCGTAACAAAGCTCGACTAAAGCACCAGGGTCGTAATAGATCGTTGGAAAGCTTTGAGCAAAGCTGGATATTCGGCAAGAGCGCCAAAAAATTTTAAACTGTTTAATGCGGGGGCCCCAGTCTTCACGGTCTGTCACCACTTGATCAAAAGCGGCATGAAATCGGCCATTTCGAAATTTTCCAATGCGTAACAGAGCTTAACAATGCACAACAGAGCTTGATAATCGTATCAGAGTGTGATTTAAAGCGCCATAAGCGCATAAAAGCTTAATAAAGCTTATCAAAGCGTGATTTAAAGCGTAACAAGGCCTGATCAAATCGGGAAATAATTCGTCCCGAAAGCGTAACCAATTCGTATCAGAGCTTATCAGAGCGTAACATTACTTAGGAGATCGTGATATTTTTGGAAAAGTAAACAAAAAATGATGTCGCTTTGCTCGCCGATTTAAAGCGCAGCATTCGCCGTTGGTGTGAACTAGGCAGTACTTGTATTTGAGGGAACTTACATTTCTTTTGTGGTACATATTTATTAAAACACCAGTTAATGGGACACAACTCACTCTACCCTATTCATTAGAGTTGGTCTGTCATTTAATCCATTTGACCAATCGTCAGAAACAGTATTGTTTTTTAGCTACGATAATCAGTAATAATGTTTGCAGCTCAGCGTCGAAATTTGAGCCTCAAAATCCACTGTGTCTACAATTATCTGCATTTGAAAGTTAAAATGACGACTCTCCTTTTCTTGAGACTCTACCATTATAGAAATAAAAGGTGAAGTTTCTGGTCTGATTATTTAAAAGGATTTCGTGCAGTCCTAGTCCTCTGAAGACTCGAATTTGTCTAGAAATCTCACCGAAAATTTTCGTTTTAATTCATTCAAAAAACGAGAAGATACTGTTTCTGTAATCATTTGCTGCAGAAGTTCGTTGTGGCCTAAGACCTATTCTTAACCATTAAGTTACCTATCTTATACTAAACGAAGAAAAGAATCCACAAAAAATCCATATTTTTGAACCATCCAATCCAAAAACAGAAGTTAAGATAGATTTTAATCAATTCATTATATTTTTGCAAAATGTTGCTGAAGATAATAAATTGAACATCATAATACACGAGTAGCTGTTGCATATGTTTAATACAGTACAGACTGGATAATAAAAGATAAATTAATCGTTCTATCGCTGTCAGTGGTCAAATAATTTACCCTTGCAGGGTTCATACAGCACTTTGCCTCAAAAATTCAAAGACTTTTCAAGGACTCTGGGCTTTGAAATTCAAGGACTTTTCAAGGATATTAGTTTGACAGAATACACATGTACCTTACTTCTGAACTGTGAAATCAATAAAAATAGTTAATATTTGTCAATGGGGTTAATGATAAAAATATACACAATTTGACTCAACTCAAATTCAAGGACTTTTCAAGAGAAAATGGTTTTTTTATGGTGTTTTCAAAGACTTTTTTTTAAATCAAGGTTTTTCAAGGCAACGGACGGAATTCAAGGGTTTTTCAAGGCTGTGCGAACCCTGCCTTGGTAATTTTATTTTTAAGTTTATTACGAACACCTCTACTTTTGATTGATATAAGTATTAGCCGTCCAATAATCGAATACATATACATAAATAAATGAAAATAGTGGAATCCAACTTTAAAGCACATAGGCTAGAAAAGTACAATCATGTCTACCATCAGATTCATCATATTATTGCATCTTTGCTTCTGACATAAGATCTTAGTATCTATATCAATTTATTTTGATTCTGGGCTACTATATCCTGAAAACCATTTTTGATTTTCTTTGAAGCTGTTACGACACAATCTGGTCTCATTATATGAGCCGGAGGTCTGAAACTACCTACGGCCTCAGCTATCTTGTTAATTGTATATATATTGGTAAAACTGCTTTTCTTTGGGCGTCTGTAGGTGTAAACTATATTGATATAGCTAGCGTTATAATGGGAATATCTACTGCTATTTCAGCTCTACCTGGAAGATGTAAGTTCATCTCTAAAATAATATTGCAGTAAATTGCCAAGACAGAAAGCCATGATAACATATACCTACTCATGTCCATAAATGTCGTAGACCGTTGCTAAAGGAACATTAGATTCATTCTACAGTGGTAGTATTTCAATTAGGACATATTA